TTCCTTCCTTCCTTCCTTCCTTCCTTCCTTCCTTCCTTCCTTCCTTCTTTCCTTCTTTCCTTCCTTCTTTCTTTTTCTTTTTCTTTTTTTGCAATTCTGGGTTAGAACCTGGCGAATAAGATTTAAATCTCAGGAAAAGAGCAAAAAATTAAAAAAAAAATCTACTGCTTTGAAAAATGCCCTAGAAGGATAGCTTTGACAGTGATGATCTTCAGTAGTCTGAAATGAAGACTAGTGTGGAGATAAGTGAGCTATCAAGTCAACAAGTTCCTGAGAGTTCTCTAAGGAAAGGGTATTTGAGAACTGTCTTTACAACTGTAGAACTATGCGCCAGCTGCTGCTATCCTGTGGATTTAATCAGCTGCCCAAGGAATATGTGTGATGTTCAGGTTACTCAAGAACTAGAGAAGAGGTGTTGTCAGGGCAAATTTCAGTGCCTTACTTCTTGAGATTTAGGCACTTCTCTTTCCTTTTTCTTGTTTTGTTCCTGTGGTGTTTTGAGTTGCAGACACTGCAATGTAATGATTCTGTTTGGATTCTTGCAAATCTTTAATTCCCAAAGTTTTGAGAAAGGTTGAATTTGACAATGTGTTGCTATTATTACAGTGCTCATGTGACCAATCCTTCTATTTTTTTTTTTAAAGAAAATCAAATAAATAATACAAATATTTTTTTTAAAATACTGTGAATAAAGTTTGTGCCCTAAGTTCCTACTCCCTTTGGTTCCAACCAGTATTTTAACTAGTGTTGGCGGTTATTGAATATTTTTAGCTCTTTCTAGAGGAGAGTACTGATAGTCACCACTATTTTGTATGTACAGAACTTGGTGGTTAACCTTGGAGTCCAACGCATAATGACAAAAGAGCTTTTTAGATTTATTTAGTTGGTATTCCTTTGATTCATTTTGATTTCTTTTTTAAATTAAAATATAATTATATCACTTCCCTCTTCTCCCCCTTCCTCAATCTCTCTCACATCCTACCCTTACTCACTTTTAAATTCACAATCTCTTCTTCTTTTATTGTTATTATTACATATATACACAGGCATAAATACATTAGGAAAATCTACTAAGTCTGTTTAGTGTTACTTCTCTGTACATGATTTCACTGCTGACCATTTGGCATTGGGTAACCCACTAGGACTTTATCCTTGGGCAAGACTAATGCTCCTACTCTTAGCATTCCTTATGTTATGTCTCTGTCTACTCTGGAGTTCTATGGGATTTCTCCCTTCGATGTTAGCATGTTCTTTATATCATCCTTGTTCAGTTCTTTTCTTAAGCAGCCATGTAGCCTATATAAATAGCATGTTTCATTCCTTCATTCACTCAACAGTAATTAAACTGATGTTTGTTGAGCACCTGCAGAATTCTAGGCCATGAGCATATTAATGAATTAAATTAACAAATAAACATATTCTTACTTTTTGAGTAATTTAATGAAAGAGACTGAACAAATAAATTACATTGTGTGCCTAATGTTGATCAGTTTTTTGGAGGAAAATGAATCAGAAAAGATTTCCAAGGAATTAGAATAGGGTTTTATTTCTAAATGAGGTACCTGTTAAATAACCAAACATCTGAAGACTTAATAGAGTAAGTCATTTGAATATCTAGGCAAGATGAGTCCAAGATCTACAGACTAAAATAGGAATGTGCTTTATATTTTACAGAAAGAATGGGGTAGCTATTGTGCTGTATTGGAGGGATAGGGTAGAGAACAATAGAATACAATAGCATAGCTCTGTGCTCCATGAGACACTAGAAAACAGTTTTCTTGGTCCTATATCCCTGCTTGTTTTGTTTTGTTTTGTTTTGTTTTGAATTGTGAATTTTTCTTCAGTACTTAACTTTTAGCAATCCACTCCCATCTTTCACTCCTCTAACAATTACTAAGTCACCGCATCTCACTCTTATGCTTCTCATTTGCCTGTTCTTTTCATGTTTAATAGTATTTACTTATACCCTTATCATTGATCTGCTGCCAGCCTCTTAGTCTTCATTCAGTATTCCTTTAAGAGCCTTCTGGTACCAGGTATTGCGCTATAGCTATAATAGTCATCAAACTAGAAATGAGCACCCATACATCACTGAGAGGAAGTGACATGCATTCACTGTTGGACCAAAGCCAGGATAGTTCCTGACTTTGTTTCTGACTTCAGTTTGTATTCTCATGTTATACTCTTAAACCACAAGGTGAAGGGCATGGAATTTTATGGAAGAAGGGGGAGATAGAAAGACCTGGAGGGGACAGGAGCTCCAAAAGGAGACCAACAGAGCCCCCCCCCAAAAAAAAAAAACAAACAAACAAACAAAAAAAAAAACTCCTGGGCCCAGGGGGCCCTGCAGAGACTGATGCCCCAAACAAAGACCATGTATGGACTGTAAATCCCCTGCTCAGATGTAGTCCACAGACTCAGTCTCCAAGTGGGTTCTCTAGTAAGGGGAGCAGGGGCTTTCTCCAGAATAAACTCAGTGGCAGGCTCTCTGATCACCTCCCCCTGGGGATGGGTGCAGCCTTACCAATTCACAGAGGAAAACAATGCAGCTAGTCCTGATGAGACCTGATAGGCTAGGATCAGATAGAAGGGGAGGAGGTCCTCCCCATCAATGGAATAGGGTAGGGCCATAGGGAGAGAAGATAGAGAGAGAGGTGGGTGGGATTGGGAGGAAATGAGGGAGGGGCCCCAGCCAAGATACAAAGAGAATAAATTATAATAAATAATAATTAAAAAAAACAGGGACTGCATCTGACATGAATTCAGTGGCTGGCTCTTTGATCACTTCCCCCCATGATGGGGAGCAGCCTTATCAGGCCACATAGGAAGACAATGCAACCAGTCCTGATGAGACCTGATAGGGTAGGGTCAGAGGGAAGGGGCTGAGGACCTCCTCTGTCAGTGGACTTGGGGAGGGGCATGGGAGGAGATGAGGGAGGGAAGGAAGGAAGGGGATGAGGGGGGGGGAATACAGCTGGGATATAAAGTGAATTAACTGTAATTAATAAAAAACTAAATAAATATAAAAATTTTTAAGTAATAATTTTCGAAACAAAAAACATAGACATTCCCATTGGCACATCAATCTATTCCTCATTTAGACTGTCTTCTCTGGTGATTATAAATTATGTCAAGTTGACAATTAAAACTAATGATTTTACATGTTAAGTGCACAATCCACAAACAGAAATAAAGCAAGTGACAGCAAAGAGAAAAAAAAAAAAAAAAAAAAAACACAAGATGAGGTGAGCAAGCAAGCAAGTAGGATTTATATGTGACAAGTAACTTGGAGGCATTTGTGTTTCAGAGGCATATGTTACAACTGACATGTGTAAGCCTTTGTGATCAAGTTGCTAAGGGCAATGACTTACTCTGCTTCAGCTATTTCTTCAGGCCATTCTGCTCCAAGTAGCAAGGTGAAATCCTGTTTGGCAATAGCAGTACAAGCATGCTTTAAGTAAATCACTAAATAAGCCAATAAAATCAGTATCTATTAACTGATCTTCTCTACCTTATTCTACTTCATTGCCTTCACAAAACTCAGAACAACCAAGGGAAGGGAAGTAGTTACTGACATGCCAATGTAATAGGCACTTCAAGAATAAGCAGTGTCCATTCACATGAGAATCAGGGAGCTCCATCCATGAGTGTGAGTGCAAGCTTTCTAGAGGAAAGTGTGTTCCTGAAAAAAAATAAATATATATATAAGTGGAGGTTGGACGTTCAAAGAGGAAAGAAGTTATGACAAAACAAATGGACCAATTGCGGAAATGCTAAAGCAAAACCAAGCAAACAAATGAAAGACCTGAACTGGAAGCGATTTAATGTTTGGAGGACTGAAGTGAAAGTAACTCAGAGGGGCTGGAGAGATGGCTCAGAGGTTAAGAGCACTGGCTGTTCTTCTATAGGTCATGAGTTCAATTCCCAACAACCACATCGTGGCTCACAACTGTCTATACTGAAATCTGGTGCCCTCTTCTGGTGTGCAGGTATACATGCAAACACAATATTGTATTTGTAATAAATAAGAAATCTTAAAACAAAACAAAATATTAAAAAAAAAAAAAAAGAAAGTGACTCAGCATGGGGCTGAACCTAGAGCTTGATGGTGTTGTTCATGGTGTCTTCAGGCCCTATTAAAG